GCCCCTTTCCCACTTCTCCCAGCCCCACCTTCCCTCTCTCTGTTCCGTCCCTTCCCTCCAAGTGTTGGGGAGCTCTTGCTCTCCTTGGCCAGCCCTGGTCTTGGTCTCCTGTGTCCCCCCATTGGCCACCAGAGGGAGCTCGCCTTAAACAAACAAAGCCAGATCTGGCCAGGTCTCTCCCAGTTCCCACAGCTCAGGTGGGAGACTCTCAGCCCCTCTGTCCCTCAGCTCCGCGTGCATGGTCTTTTTAGGTGCCTTCCCTCATTCACGTGTCTCTGAGCCTCAGTCTTGTGCCAGGCAGGGCAGGAGCCGGATGGGTGGTCTTAGGCATGTTTGCAGAATCCACCCTTGGTGAGGCCCGGGAGGTGGCACAGGACTTGGGGCTGGTGCTGGGGGCTTCCAGGTGCTGAGAAATAAGACAGGGCCAGAGTGCTGCCTGCCTCAGATGTGTGAGCGCCTTCTGCCTCAGCCCCCATGGCATAGGGTTTTAGGGTCTGGAAAGTTCCATTCTCCACTTGCCAGAAGGCAGTTTGAAGCCAGGGTGGGGAAGAGAAGTGTGTGCATTCGTGTGTGGGGTTAGTGAGGCCTGGGGCAGAGACACATGTTGAAGAAGGGACATGTGTTTCAGCCCCCCAAGGAAGAGAAGAGTGAGGAGAAGGGGCATTCAGGTCTGACCACTCTGTTCCCGGGGCAGAAGAGGAGGATCTCTCATCTGTCCAAGCAAGGCAAGGAGGTAAGGGGCCGGAATTTGGTCCTGGCTAGAGACTGGCAGAGAGAAGTGGCCCAGGGAGGGGCCCAGGCCCCCAGTTTGCAGAAACAAGGTCCCTGTATCTGCTCATGGATTTGTTTGGCAAGCTTGTATCCAACACTGCCCAGATCCTGCCCACTTCCCGGCCTCAGATTGTTCCCAGAGCAGGGACGATGGAGATGGGAGGCAGCCCCAGGGTAGCAGAGCCCTGCAGCACACAGCAGCCTGCTGGGCCCAAACCCTGGCTCCCGGTGTGCTCTGTGATCCTGGGCCAGTTGCCCAACCTCTCTGAGCCTCGGTTTTTTCCTCTGTAGCCAAGAGACAGAGTGATTGTTGGGTCTCTGTGGGGGGACTGTGAGTTAGCACAGGAAAAGCTCAGGTCAGAGAACCCTGCTGCAAGGTTAGCAACCAGGAGTTCCAGTTGATTCCATCACCAGACCCATCCCTGAGGAGGGGCCCAGGGATTCTGGAAGCTGGAGTTCAGAGGAAGATTAGGTTAAGTGAGATTGTGTTGAAGTGCCAACCCAATCGGGCCCAGGGATTCCCGCCCTGCCCTGTGTCTATATCAGGGCTGTGGGTATGACCTGGGCACCCAGAGTGGCCGGGACAGCAGGACAGGAGGCAGCATGAGCCTGAGGGCCACAGCACCATGCTGGTTCCCGCCAGGGTACCTGAAAGCTCAGGTGGTGGCGATGGAGGCTGTGTTGCCTCGCCAGGGTCCTGCCTGGGCCTGCCCGCTCTGGGTGCATCAGAGGTGCAGTCAGATGCCAGCATTTGTCATCACCCAGGCGGAGCCCCCAAGGAGAGGCCCGGCTGTGCTCCCAGCTCGGCCCCCCACAGCCCAGGAGGTGTGCTACCTGCGGGCCCAGCAGGCGCAGAGGGAATCCGCCAGCTGGCTGCAGGCCGCCCCACGGCAGTTGGAGAAGCCCTCCTCCGTCCACATCTCAGCCCCTGGTGAGAAGAGGAGGATCGCCCACGTCCCTAACCCCCGCCTGGCCTCAGGTAAGTCCCAGTCTCACCCTTGGCCTGCACTGGAGGGGAGAAAGGGGAGTCTTGGGAGCGTTTCAAGTCAGGCAGAAGGAGAGGCAGTGTCCCAAGGTCAGCCCAGCAGGCCTACCCACCCACTTAGTGCTGGAGGCGTGACCCGAGCATCCTCTGGTGCCTTCAGTTTGCCTGTGGGGATCATCCTGCAAATGTAGGTATACCTGCAACCCTCCTGTCACATTCCTGCAGCCAAGGACCTTCTTTAGATTAGAAGAGCAGGTTCTGACCGCTCCCTCCCTACCTTGCTTCCCCAGAGCCTCCGAGGGGTAACTTGACAGTGAGAGATGTTTTTGGGGTTTAGCAGAGGGGGAAGGGAGGTAACTGAAGGGCGTCCATCCCAAGAAACCTACACCATTCCCAAGTCTGCATTTACTGCACTTGGGAGCATCTGATTAGTAATCAATGGCATGGGACAGTCCCTGACAGCCAGGTGGCGGAGTCGTCACAGCATAAGGGCCTGAAAGAAACTGCTGGGCTGGTCGTCTGCAGCCATACTGGCAGACTCACCTGATCTCGGAGGAATCCCGTCCATTGGATGCTTCGGGCTGCTCCTTTTCACACACACGCCCGCAGCACGCGTCTCAGTGATCCTGAGCAGTCTCCGTCCCACGGCGAGAGGCGTGGGTTGCCTACCTGCTTCCTTCCTGGGTGGCCTGGGAGGCTCCCTGCCCCTGGCAGGTGGGGGCCTTATGTGTCCAGACCCCACTCCCAAGGGTAGTACGGGCAGGAACCAGCCTGCAGATGCCATAGTCCCTGCCCCAACTACCCTCCTCAGGGCCAGGCAGGGTTCCAGGCGGAGCCACCCTGATCCCGGGCCTGGGCCCTGAGACCACAGACAGATGTGTCTGGCTCACCTGCTCACCTGCTTTGTCAGTGCAGAGCCCCAGGCACAGAGCTGGTCAGAAGTCCCCACCCTACACCCAGACACACACCCCAGGGTGCAGCTGCCCTGCCTGGCCAGCCCTTGGAAACTACCCCCCCTCTAGCCTGCCCTCCCTACCAAGGGCGGGACACCGGTTTGTGACCTCATCAAAGGGAGAGGAAGAACATGGGGCAGGCTGGCTGGTCACAATGAGCAGATTGGGGGGCGTCCCATACCCTCTGGTCCTTTGCCTAGGAGCCAGGGCCTTTCCCCCGTCAGACGTCAATGCCTTGGAGTCAGGGGCCGGAACATGTGGCAGAGGCCCACCACGCTCATTGCCACTTGCTGGACCACGCCAGTGGTCACGTTGCCTGAGCTGGCCTCCGAAGCCTGATTTTTGTTTACCCCCCATCTCAATGGACTTGCCAGAAAGCAGATAGAGTCTAATGTCATTCCACAGCCCAAGCTCTGCAGCCCGTCCTCTCCCACTGTGCTCGGAGATGCACGTGCTGCTGATGCTCAGCGACCACAGCTACCTGGTGCTCCGCAGCTCGGTGATGGGCCTTCTCTCTTCCTGTGCTCATGTCCGCTGTGCCCCACCAGCCCCCACAGGTGCCAAGAGGACCCTCGCGGCCAGCAGCAGCCAGCCAGCCAATGGCCTCGAGCCTGGCAGCCAGCCGCTGAAGACACGCACATTGTCAGGGATGGCGTCCAAGACCACCACCACCATCACCCCCAAGAGAATCGCTCACAGTCCATCTTTACAGGTAATCGGGCCTGGGGTGGGCTGGCCCTCCATACCCCCAGGCAAGGTTCTGGACGCCAAGGCCACCTCATCAGCTGGTTGTCCCCTGCAGGTTGCCCGCAGATACGCTCATGGGCACAACCTGTTTTTTCCTTTCCTTCTGGTTCTCTCTGATAGTTTTATTTTATTTTGTTCAGTGAATTGACTTATTTAGAGTAGTCCTAGGTTCATAGAAAAATGGAGCAGAAAGTGCAGTGACTTCCACGTGCCTGTCCCCTCCCTCAGTGTCCCTCGTTATGAATGTCACGCACACATGCAGTGCATCTGTTCCCAGCTGCAGCACCAGTCTCGATTCGCCCTTCCACACCATGCTGTTAACGAGAGTCCAGGGCCTGCCCTGCGTGTTGCAGGCCTGTGGGTCTGTAGAGACAGTCGGGACGTGTGTCATCCCTGTTGGTTTTGTGTTCCCTCCAGAGTTTAAAGAAACCCATTATCCCGAAAGAGTTCGGGGGCAAAGTCCCCACTGTCATCCGCCAACGCTATCTCAACCTGTTTATCGAGGAATGCCTCAAGTCCTGCTCTTCCAACCAGGAGGCTATAGAGAAGGTGGGGCCCGGGGCTGTGCGACCCATCGGCTGGGTGGGGTCAGGGGCTGAGACTGTCACCGCACTCTCCCTTAGCCTCTCAGCTAGTGTCTCACCTCCAGGGCTGCCCATGAGAGACACAGGTTCCTGAGCCCCTCACTCTCCTGTGCAGACCCAACTGGCCCTGGCCACCCTTTGGTCCCCTCTCGACCCCACTGCTGGGCCCTGAGGCTGAGCACGTGTGTCTTCCTCAGGCACTGAACGAGGAGAAGGTGGCCTACGACCGCAGCCCCAGCAAGAACATCTACCTGAACGTCGCCGTGAACACCCTCAAGAAGCTGAGGGGCCTGGTCCCCAGTGCTGTGCCAGGTCTCAACAGTAAGTCCTGGGGTGGCCAGGGAGGGTTGAGGGGGCTGCATGTGGGTGGAAGGAAGACGCAGGAGCGGGAACGCTCGTGGGGCCTCCCACAGCCTTGACCCCAGGGGGACTGAGACAAAGGCTGCACAAAGCCCAGGGGCCCTGCTGGGGTCTGGCCGGGCTCCGCAGGCTGCAGGTTTCCCTGTGGGCTGGGCTGGCCTCTTCTCGCTATTAGCCAAGTTGGGCCTGGCGAGCCAAGGCTGCCGCTAACGCTGCCGCTCACAGCCTCTTCAAAGCTGAGGCCGGCGGCCCCGTGCATTAAGCTTGGGGAGGAAGGGAGCGTGGGCTTAAGATGCCGCTTCGCCGCCCTCAAGAGGCTGCATTAAGCCATCTGCCGCCCTGCCACGCTGCCCCCATTAGCTTCTCGCTGCCGTCTGCAGGGGCCCGGGGTGGGCTTCACAGGCCAGGCAGCTGGTGGTGGCACAAAGCCCCCGAAAGCCATTAGGTTCCTTGCTTGCTTCCTCCCGGCCGTTGCCCCTTCGCCTTCTGAGGTGTGGGAACTTCGCCTGTGTGGGGGCACAGGGCTTCCGGGCAGCACAAGGGCCTACTGGCCCTGACACAAGGCAGGGTAGGGACAGGGCTGCCCCACGGCAGGGGTGACTGCCCCATGGACCCCTGGCCTGACACAGCCTGTGAAGTGGTGCCTGTCCTGGATCGGGTGGGACATGACTCTGTGAGCAGTGGGAGCCACCCGAAAGAGGAGCTGAACCCGTGTAATTTACCCCTCCCTTTCCTCCCCTCTCCTCTCCCCTCTGCTCCTTCTAGAAACCAGTGGCCGAAGGGTTGTGTCACACGAGGTGGTGCTGGGGGGCAAGTTGGCCGCCAAGACCAGCTTCTCGCTCAGCCGCCCGAGCAGCCCCCGGGTGGAAGACCTGAAAGGTGAGCCTCGTTCCCCGGTCTAGCCCGGCCCACCCTCGCTGGTGCCATTAGAGAAGGACACGCTGCCCCTCCCGGCCCCAGCCTGCACCCCTCCGCAGGGGCAGTCCATTGAGCTCCTTCCCCGCCAGGCCAGGCTGGGGGGCAGAGGCCATGGGGTGTGTCCCGGGCAGTGGGTGACCGCTTCTCATGGCTCTCTGCAGGGGCCACCCTATACAGCCGCCTCAAAGAGTACCTGCTCACCGAGGACCAGCTCAAGGAGAACGGCTACCCCTTCCCGCATGCTGAGCGGCCGGGAGGTGCTGTCATCTTCACGGCCGAGGAGAGGAAGCCCAAGGACGGTGCGTGTGTTCCCTGTGTGCCTGCGCCTGGGCCAGGCACCCAGGACCAGGGCTCGGTGCATATGCAGGGAAGGGCGTCGGGTCGAGGGAGCAGCGTGGGCTGCAGAGGCAGGGAGAGAGGTGGGGCTGGGTACGGGCTGTGGGTGCGGCCGGCAGCTCATCCACCCGTCTGTTTCCACCCACAGCCTCCTGCAGAACCTGCTGCCGCTGTGGCACCGAGTACCTCGTGTCCTCCTCAGGGCGCTGCGTCCGCGATGAGGAGTGTTACTACCACTGGGGGCGGCTCCGCCGGAACCGAGGTAAGGCCTGAGAGCCCCCACCCACCCGGAAGACCTCGAGCCAGCCCGGGGTCCCTGCTCCCGGGTCCGTCCAGCAGAGGGCAAGGTCTCCCCAGTCCGCAAACTCCGACCCTTTCTGCTTGTTCTTTTTTTTAATTACAAAAGTAATACAAAGACCTTCTCGTAACAATGTCCAAATGCTGATATTTGGAGGTCCCGACACCCCCTCCCCTCAGCTGCCCTCTCCACGTCCTCTGTGTGAAGTAGAAACGGTGCTGTCGGTGGCAGCGGCACAAAGGGCCCGCCCTGTCCCGTGTTTGCTGTGCCATGTTGATCTCCCAGGCGCCACATTCCCACTTGCAGGAGCCCACTGCCAGCCTGATGCTGCCGGCGGCTGCCCTCACGGGGCACTGCAGCTGGGCATGTGCAGGGTCTCCCGGCATCCATGCGTAGGCCTATCCTGACCGCCAGCTGCTGGGGAAGGGCCTGGCCTGCTTCCAGCTTGGTGCCTTGGATGAGGAGCCCTGCCCCCATCCTTGCCCCCTGAAAGGGCCTGGCCCCCACTCCAGGGAAGGGGGCTGGGTCCCCCAACCTCACAGGGGCCACCCCCTGGACTAGGGCTGGGATTCCCTCTGCTGGGAAGCCACTGTCCACTCCCGGCAGGTCAGGAATCCCCTTCAGATGGTGCCAGAGCAGGCGTGGTAGGGCCCCATGACGATGTCTCTCTTTCAGTGGCTGGCGGCTGGGAGACCCAGTACATGTGCTGCTCAGCAGCCGTCGGCTCTGTCGGCTGCCAAGTCGCCAAGGTGAGTCCTGGGGCTCCAGCGCCGCTCTCTGCCTTGTTCTCAACACACTTCTGACTCCTCTTCACTGGTCAGGGGTCTTGGGTCACTAGGATCCTAGGCTCAGGGGTCCCGTCATGTGGCCCTGGCCAGCCCTTCCCTTATTTTTTTGGGGGGGCGCTGCTGGCAGGTGCGGGGATCTGAACTCTCGACCTTGGCGTTACAAGGCCATGCTCTTTCCCAGGTCATCCGTGGAGCACACTAGCTCACAGGCGTTGGGGCCCTGCTTGTCGGGCCATGTCCCCATCGTGCAACCAACTCCTATACCCTCTCCTGGCCCGAGCTGAGGTTTGCTGCCAGCATGGTGGTCAGTGGTGCTGTCCAGCTGTGGGGCTGGTGCCAGATCCCTGACCCTTCTGAGCCACTCTTTTCTCCTCTGTGAACGGGCTTGAGTAATGACCGGGACAATCCACCAAAACCCTGTGCACAGGCCCAGCCTGCTGGCTTTTTTCCTGAGGTACCCCTGCCCCCACTGTGTCCTCCTGGCACCCCCCTCACCTTCCTCTACCCACGCCCGCAGCAACATGTGCAGGACGGCCGGAAGGAAAGCCTCGAAGGGTTCGTGAAGACCTTCGAGAAGGAACTTGCAGAAGATGCTCACCCAGGAATCTATGCCCTCGACTGTGAGATGGTGAGTCTGCCTCTTCCCGCCAGCTCCCGGGGTTGCCCCAGCAGCAACAGTGGGCACTTGTGAAGGCTTGTGGCCCTGGGGACTGAAGGTACCTTGCTGCTCTGTGGGGCCATCACAGCTCCAGCGCACAAAGATTTGAGCCAGTGCAGGTTTACGACCCAGCGGATGGACAGCCAGGGCTGTGGCTGTTGTCCGCAGAGGCAGGTGTCAGCTTCGCCAGATCTGCCCCAGCAGAGGGGCCTCACGCTCCAGCCCTGGGCAAACATCACGCACGCTTTTCCACACAGCTGAGTGTACTCAGGCATTGATTGGGTCCCTCTGCACTGGGTGGGGAGAGCTGAGTGCGCACCCTGCTCCCTATATCTGCATGTGGGTCTGCTGCTGCCTCTGAAGTGCGGTGAGCACCTCACTGAGGCTGTCAGGGCCTGTGGTGCTGGGCAGGGAGGTGGTATGGGCGTGCCCGAGTCCCACCCCTCTGGCCCTCCACCCCGCAGTCCTACACCACGTACGGCCTGGAGCTGACCCGCGTCACGGTGGTGGACACAGAGATGCAGGTGGTGTACGACACCTTCGTCAAGCCCGACAATGAGATTGTCGACTACAACACCAGGTGCGCCCCCCACCTTCTGGGATCCACCCCTTGGCCACCCGTGCTCCCTGCTGAGCCTGATTCCCATCTCTCGCCCCAGGTTTTCCGGGGTGACCGAGGCCGACCTTGCCGACACAAGCATCACTCTACGGGACGTCCAGGCCGTCCTGCTGAGCATGTTCAGCGCCGACACCATCCTCATTGGACATAGCTTGGAGAGTGACCTGCTGGCCTTAAAGGTAGCCTGGGCAGGTGCTTGGTGGCTTCCCTGTGGCCCGTGGGATGGGGGACCCTGCTGCACCCTGACTCCCCTGTCCCCCGCAGGTCATCCACAGCACCGTGGTGGACACATCCGTGCTCTTCCCCCATCGCCTGGGCCTCCCCTACAAGCGCTCCCTGCGGAATCTCATGGCCGACTACCTCAGACAGATCATCCAGGACAATGGTGAGTGGCCAGTCTGCCCATGGGGCGCTTGTCCCTGGGGTAGGGGTACAGGTTGGTGACCGTGTCTGCCCTGCAGTGGACGGGCACAGCTCCAGCGAGGACGCCAGCGCCTGCATGCACCTGATGATCTGGAAGATCCGAGAAGACGCTAAGACCAAGCGATGACTCCCGCCCGCCGCCCTCCCGCCTCTCCTGCAGCCCCAGCCCATCCTTAGCCCCAGGCCTCTTCCAGAAACAGTGCAATAAATCTTGAGAGCTAACCTTGTCCACCTTGCAAGACACGGAAAACCAAGAGAGACGGGATGAGCCGGCAGCACCAGAGAACAAAAAGCCAAGACCAACCCCGGAGCCCGACCCCACCCCCGCCGCCCCTACACCTTGTCCTGTCCTGAGTCTGCTGCCGACTCAGCCGGCACCAGCCTGTACCCACCATCCTCCCGGCTCCTCCGAGCCAGGTCCTCAGCCTGCATGCACCGGAGGGACACCACCTGCCTCTGTTGCCCTCCAGTGATGCGGAGTGGAGGCTGGACAGGCGGGGCAGGTGGGTTGTGGGTTTGTTTGAGACAGGGGTTATCCTTTTTTATTTTGTATTATTATTTTTATTATTTTTAATTTAAACTTGATGACTTGCACAGTTACCTTCCCCCACCTAGAGGAGGAAGGCCCTGGTGCTGCCTCTGCTCCTGGGGGACGGGGGGTGGGGCACCATCCAGACCCAGCCCAGGGGCCCCAGGAGCCACACGCAGACAGAACCCAAGATTCTGGCCCAGTGTGGGCTGGTACTCCACTGCTGGGTCTCCGGAGGGCTGGGGCTGCCATGTGGGTGGGAGGGGTGGCTTCCAGAACTCTCCTCCCCAGCCCATCTGGACTTCCATGACCTGTGAGAACCAAGCCAGCCCCTGGGCCTTGCCTTCCAGATGCCCCCAGGGCCCAGCAGCCCTGGACACTGTCTTCCCGCCACAGCCTCACCCTCCTCTCCATGGGGGCTGTCTGTACCCCCTACTCCCCCCACCCCTGGGCAGAGACAGAATAAATGTTTGTATGGATTTTAGACTTCATGGTTTCTGGTGAAGTTCTTCATGCCAGGTGAGACCTCTGCACGCACCCCAGGAAGGCCATGTCCACATAGCCAGGCCCAACTGTTCCCTTCCAGTTCGGGGAAACAGAAATGGAAACTTGTGTTCCTTCTCAAAACCTGGCCCCAGCACCCAGGGCCTGGGCCACCAGCACCCTCAGGGACCGGGCCACCCCTGCTCTGGGGACTTGGTGTTCCAGCCCCCTCTCTGCAGGGCGGGGGGGTGGTGCCTCTAGCCCTGGGTGTGACAGTGGAGCCAGGGCTGAGTCCTGTGAAGGGAGTCGAGTCGCACTTCCCTTACTTCTTTGCCCATCATGGGCTGGCTGGGGGGCTGTACAGAAAAGGCCCAAGAGGGTCAAGCAGGTGAAGAGAGCGCCTGTGCATTGCTTGTCTGAGGGGAGGGCTGGGTCCAGCGGCGCCACGAGCTGCCAGTGAGCTGCACTGCTGGGAGGTTCTGTAAACTTTCCAGTGCACGCACAGCTCCAAGCAGCCTTGCCAAGCTGTACTCCGTCAGCGAATCGTTCTGGCTTGGGGTGGGAGGCCCAGGGGTGTTTAGGCCTCGCTTTCTATTTATATTAGTTCATGTCTGTTGCTTATAACAAAATACCCAGAACTGGGTAGTTTGTAATTAAGTGAAATTTACTGCTTCCAGTTACTGAGGCTGGGAAGTCCAAAGTCCAGGGAACACAGCTGGTGAAGGTCTTGGTGGTGGCAGCGGTGATGGCAGGGTATCACATTCTGAAAATGGCAGAGCAGAGAAAGCAAGAGACAGAGAGACTCTCACGTGCTCTTCTTTTAAGGCCCTCAGAACCACGCCCCTGACCACCATTTTTAATCCATTCACTGTGGCATGATCCTACAATCTAATCACCTCTTCAAGGCCCCACTTTTCAATTACCATAATAGGATCTCCCACCCTCTTAACAGTCACAGTGGGGGCTAAGTTTCTAATTCATAAAACTTGGGGGAAGTAGTTCAAGCTTCAGTGAGTTTTGGGGGGACATAATTCACTACACTAAAGTAAAAAAGCCAAGCTGAAGAGCCTCATTGGAACAGGAGATGGCTGAGGGACCCTCAGCTCCAGGATGGCTGAGGGACCGAGCCCCGGGGGGTGAGGGGCCCAGGTTCTGATGCTTCAGTACAAACATGCTGGAAGGAAGACTGCAGGAGGCTCCCTGTGATCCTGGTCACTCAGGCTTCTACTGAAGACCAAGAGCAGGGTCCAGGGCTGAGGACATGGCGGCCCCTCCTCCAGAGGCTTCCTGTCTCAAAGCTGCAGAGGAGGAATGGCTTTCCTTTTCCAGCCATGAGGTTTAGAATCTCTCCAGGGCCCTCCCCACCCTTGGGCTCTTGGTTGTCAGGCCCTTCCACCTTCAGGGGCTATTGTGACCAGTGGACTGTCTCTAAGTGGTACAGGTATATTCACGAGAAGCCCTGTTTCTGTGGGTTTCTGTGTGGTGTCTGCCTCTCCCCTTCCCAGAGGTTGTAGGCATTTGGGGAGCTTGGGAAGAATGCTACAAGCCGGGCTGGTAGCCTGGGGCCCCAAGGCTGGCCAGCCTCTCCAGCCTCAAGGGACTTCTTTCAGCTCGTGGAACCGGTCTGCAGGCCCTGGAGGCCTTGGGGCCTTTGCACACCCTGTTTTCTGCTTGAGAAGCTCCTGTCTCCACTGTTATTACCCCCTACAGAGGATGAGGAAGGGGAATGTGGTCATAGCCCTACCCCAATAAGGTCTCTCCTAGAGGATATTAGAACAGCTTGTTCAAACAACCCCTCACCCCTGGTCTTTCTCATAATCACCAGTAGGCGCTGGATTAATGTTTGTTGAATGAATGAATGGAAGGAGAGGTTCTCCTGGCACCTACCAGGGGTCAAGCAGGAAGCAGGGGCTTCCAAAGAAAAGTGCGTGAGTTTTTGATCACCAAGAGCCTGCAGGAGGCTGCTGCTCTGATGGGAGAGGTTGGGGCCTGTGCTTTCCTCCCCACCACGCTCATTCATTCACTCACTCATTCATTCATTCACCTAGCATCTGCTGATGGACGATGCTCGTGCCCCAGAGAGGCTCCAGCCCCAGGCAAGGAAGAGAGAATGGGGAACAGAGGTGGACACATGTACCCCTGTCTGCTGGGTCAGGGCCAGGTCAGAGACAGGGACCCCAGTGCTGGGGGGTGGGAGCCAGTGATGGTGAGGGTGGGGAAAGAGTCCACTACCTTCCTAATTTCATGCTTCAGAGGGTTCCTAACAGTGAAAATATTCAAAATGGAGCCTAGTCATCTCCCTTGGGTCCCCAAGGCTGTCCCTTCCCTGGGAACCTCCACCTCAGGGAGCCCCACTCTCAGGGGATCCTATCTTCAGCAGCCCCTCCCCACACACCCTGCCTCAAGTCCCCCATCTCGGGCCTGGACGCTGCCCCCGGTGGCCACCTCCCTCAGGAAGGCCCCCTTGAGCCCCCGCCACACACCCCCCCCCAGGGTGGGTGCACACGGACAGAACTTCGCCGGCGTCCTTCGGGCCTTAGGATGTGGCTATCACCGCCGCCCCGGCCTGGCGTCCAACACTGCACCTGCGCGTAGGAGGTGCTCAGCTAACGTGTACGGGATGAATGAGTGACCGAACCCTGGTACACGGATCAGACACGTGCCCTCGTACCTGAGCTGACCTGCGCGCCCTGCCTCCCGCTCCGAGACCCACACGGGCCCCGCCCAATCTCAGCCCGGTCCAATCCGCAAGGCCCGTCCTGGCCTGACTAGATCCCACCCAGGCCCAGCTCAACCCCCCAGCCCAATCCCACCCGGCGATGCAAGCCCAGCCCACTGACCCACCCCATCCCTAGCCCTGCACCCCCGTCCCCCTGCAGGCCCCACCCCTAGATCTTGGTCCCGCCCCTACGTTGGCACCATCAATACCCTCCCAGCCCCGCCTTCTACCTGGCCCCGCCCCAAAGTCCGGCCCCGCCCTGGCCCTGGCCCCGCCCCGGCCCCGCTGGGCCC